TTTGCATACTACTTTCTTCCAACACTATTGCGACGTTGTTGGCGACTCGGTATGTGTCATGGCTACTGGGATTTTTTCAAGGCGGGGAGCTGGAGCCTAGTCAGAATAAAACCATAATTACTCTGATCCCTAAAGTGGATAGTCCCAAGTCTATAAAAGACTTTCAACCCATAAGTTTACTCAATGTCTTGTATAAACTTATCACCAAGGTCATTGCTAACAAATTCAAGAAAATTATGCCTAGTCTGATTAGCGAAACGCAAGCGAGCTTCGTTGAAGGCTGAAGTATTTCGAATAATATTATCATAGCCCAGGAGGTTATTCACTCAATGAAGCGCAAGAAGGACAAGACTGGCTGGATGGAAATTAAAGTGGATCTAGAGAAGGCTTACAACAGACTCAGCTGGGGGTTCATTGAGGAAACTCTTCATGATGTCGGTATCCCCCGTACTATGATTCGGATCATTATGCATTGCATCAGTTTCGGCTCCATGCAGCCTCTCTGGAACGATGCAACCATGATGGAGTTTACCCCCTCGTGGGGCATCTGACAAGGTGATCCCCTCTCACCATATATCTTTGTGCTGTGTATGGAGCGTTTATCTCAATACATTGATCAGTTAGTCTGTCATGGTGATTGGCGGCCGATGACTCTGAGCATGGGGCTCCCTAGCTTTCGCATCTGTTCTTTACGAATAATCTGATCCTTTTTAGTGAGACCTCTAATAGTCTAGTGCACCTTATTAAGAGGATGAGTTCTGCCAGAGTTCTGGCCACAAGATCAGCATGTCCAAGACGCACATCTTTTTCTCCCACAATGTTGCTGATGGTGTGGTCTCCCGTATTAGTTCCGCTTTTGGGTTCCAAGCTTCCAATAACCTGGGTACGTACTTGGGGGTTCCTCTCTTACATGAGAGGGTTACTAAAGATACCTATAGTTATATTTTGGACAATGTACGTAGGAAGCTTTCTGAGTGGAAGGCTACTAGCTTATCTATGGCTGGCATGGTGACCTTCGCCAAGTCTGTGCTCATGGAGATCCCGGCCTATGCCATGCAAACTGCTTTCCTCCCTAGCTCTTTATGTGATTAGATTGACCAGTTTGTACGGGACTTCATCTAGGCCTCCTCCATCGATGCGAGGAAGACGAGTCTCGTTAGTTGGCATGAGATGTGCCAACCCATCACGCATGGGGATGGTAGCATCATGAATCTTAGGTACCTCAATAAAGTCTTCCTCATGAAAGTTTGTTTTAATATTATTACCCAGTCACACCTCCTTTGAGTCAAGGTCCTACGGCATAAGTATAAATGGAACCTCTTTGATATGGAGACCAAATACTCTGGCCCTTGCTCCCATATATGGAGGGAGTTAAGTGGCCTCTGGGAGGATGTCGACTTTAGGTTGGCTTGACATATCGCGGATGGCATTGACGATGCAATTCTGGGAGGACAATTAGTTGGGTACAAGCAGACCACTCAAACTCCTTACCTACCAGCCCATTGAAGATTCCAGTAAAACTCAAACGATTAGGGATTTGGTCACTCCAAATGGTCAATA